CCCCCAGACACTCAGGTGCCCCCCTGCCTGGCTGTGCAGGGGGATGTGAGCAGCATCACAACTGCAGCCCGAGCCCCGGCGTGCTGCCGAGCTCTGCAGGGAGCAGCACAGGGATCCCGCCGGCACCCCCGAGCCCCCCAGCACCCCAGGGGATGGTGCTGCACTGGGCACCCAAGGATGTGGGTGCTGGGGGGGGGTGGTGGTGGCATGTGGGGTGCCCCAGCACCACCACTCATTTGGGTGCAGGGGGGGTGCCACGAGCTGTGTTGAGGCCAGGCGCTCCCCTGGGGTGTTGTGTGTCCGTTGTCCCCCCCCCGCGGCACTGAACACCCTGCTGGTACCCTTGCTTTGCACCCACCTGTTGAAGGGTGTCACTGGCCTGGACACCCCCTCCCCCGACTCCTTCCTGCTCTGTGTCTGTGGGTGCAGGGCCCCAGACCTGGGGTGCAGGATCTGGCACTTGGGGGGCAGGAGAGGGGCATTGCTTGGGGGGTGGAGTGGGTGCCTGCAAAGTTGCTGCCTGCAGCTCCTGGGTGCCACCCCCTGCCGTGGGTGCTCAGCCCTGCCCGGCCTCTTTCTTCTTCCCAAACCCAGGTGCCCGCAGTGCTCACCCCGGTCCCGCTCCGGCAGAGATTGCACAGAAATACAGGTCAGGGTCCCAGTGTTGCAGAAACGCTGCCTCACCTGCAGCGAGCTGGAAAGGGTCCAGGCAGCATCTGCTCACCAGCCTGCGGCTCCTCCAGCAGCTTTGTTGTCCTCCTCCTAAACCCCAGTTTGCAGGAGTGTAATGGGGAAAAAAACTCCCTCTTGGGTTGTTTTTTTTCCTGCAGGAAAAGCCCTGCTTGGAAATGCTGTGCCCCCCTCCCCGAGCAGGGTAAAAACCCCATCCAAGGGGTGGGTTTATGGGGTGAAAAGCAGCCGTGAGCTTGTAGAGGGGCTGGGGGGAGCTGCTGGCCGTGTGGCACAGTGTTCTGTCACCATCCCCATCTGTCACCCCATAAAAAGGGTCTCCACGCCAACCTCTTCTTCCCCACAGGCTGGCTTGTAAGGATGCCTGAAGCTCCCAGTGCTGCCCAGTGCCCCCGCAGTGCCAGCTGGCACCTGGGCTGTCGAGCTGCTGGCACTGACGATGACTCCACCAAACGCAAAAAAGTGGAAGAGGGCCACGTGTCCTCAGCCACTGGAAAGCTTTGGGAACCCCTCGTAGTCCTCTGCATTAAATAACCCTCAGCAGGGTGGGGAGTTAAATACAGCAGCTCCTGATTCACCCCGGAGCAGAAGGTGGTGGCTGTGCGGCACCTCGCTCCAGCCCCCCAGTGCCATCGGCTGCCAGGTCACAGGGAGTTGGCCGCCACGTTGTGGTCGTGTGATGCCGATTCTGGTGTTGGCGGTGCTTGCAGCCACTCCGCGGGGCATGAAGGTGCCATGTGTGAGGTCCAAGGGCAGGAGAAGGAGCTGGTGGAGCATGGAGAACCTCTTAGATTCTCAGCATGTTTGGCGGGCTCCGTGCGGAGCAGGTCCAAGCAGGTTGAGCTGCAGAGGTATCCGAGATGGATAAGTCCAAAGGAGAAGATGGTGGTGGTTGTCTGTGCCTGTCTCAGAGCTGCAGGCTGGGGAGGTAGGATGCTCCTGAGGTCCAGGACCTCGGTGGTTGCATCCTCTGAATTACCATGTCCTGCACATGAGGCCTGAGGTCAGACAGGGATATGGTGGTGCCTTGAGTGGAGAGACCCTGTGGTGGCCTCTGGGGACATTGCTGACAACACAGAGACAGCCCTGAGCATCCTCCTTGGCTGCCAAGATGGGTCCCGTCTGATGTCATCAGAGTCCTTCATACACCGTGGGTCCGGAGCAGAACCAGACCCCACCATCTGCCTGAAACCTGGGGGTGACTGCAAGAAAAAAACCTGGGGGTGACTGCAAGAAAAAAACCTGGGGGTGACTGCAAGAAAAAAACCTGGGAGTGACTGCAAGAAAAAAACCTGGGGGTGACTGCAAGAAAAAAACTGGGAGGCTTGAAAGAGCCTCTGGGAAGATACTGAGATGTTGGTGTCTTGGTTGGTCTCATCCAACCATCTTCATGCCCCGTGTGACAAGGACATGTCTCCATCCTGTCCCTGCCGCACTCTGTGAGTGGGAGCGCCAATCCTAGGGCGGGGGGACAGGGGCCGCGGGGCTCACCCAGGGATGGCATTTTCTGGACCGTTAGCACTTCTGTGTCCTGGCCAAGTTGCAGGTCGATAACCTTAAGCAACCAACAGTCCTGGTCCAGGTTCCCTAAAGCACGGGCTCAACAAAACCCATGTCTTTGGGGTTTGCTTGTTTTGCCTCCTGCCTTTCATGAGACTTTTGTGGCATCAGGAAGATACAGAGCTCATGAAAAACATGGAGAAAGAGTAATTGGTGCATTCTGTAGCCACTGGACTGCAGGATCTCGCTATTTGAGCAGCTCTTGGGGATGCTCAAGGGTGGCATGGGCTGGCAAGAAAGTGTCTGCAAACCCTCCGCCATTGGGCACTGGGAATGTTTTCCAGCTGAGTGTTGCCTTTGCTGTTGCCATTTGGCCTCCGATTTACAGTAATTGGTGCGTTTACAATAAATGGGTGTTTTGTGGCCATTGCAGGCAAACTGCATCGCTGAGAGTCATTCCTTGCACTTCTAAAGCGAGTTTCTGCTATGTGTGGCTGTGGAAAACACAAGCAAGGTTCCAAAATTCAGGAAGGACAAAAAAAAAAAAGCCCCAAACCAGATAAAAAATAGCCCCCAATCTCCCAACCTGCAGAGGTGTTAGTTACTGCAGCTCTTTGCCCGGCCGGGATGGACCTCAGCAGCTCTGCCTCCAAGAGGCTGATCCTAAAGGAGGTCACACCAGGTTTTACTCCCGGTTTGGGGTGTCACCCTGCTCGCTGTGCGTGGGGAGAGGATGAACCCACCCATGAGCTGGACAAGGGCTTTCTCCAGCCTCCCTGTCCCCTGCGTGGCTGCCGCAGCGCCAGTGATGGATGCCTTTCTGCTTGCCTTGCCTCTTTGTGTTCCCACTGATGCTGTTGGGAGGGATGATGGATGAAACCAGAGGTGATGCCCATGGCTAGCTCACGGCACTCGGATGCTGTGGGGAGGGGTCATGCTTGGCTCCCAGGGCAACAGGAGGTCTTGTGGGGTGCTGGGGACCTTCCCCCAAGGAGCAAGACTTGCCACCAGCCTGATTTTTAAGTCAACCAGATGCTGTTGGCGGCCTGGGAAACCTCAGCCTTGCCATTGGTGTCTGTAGCTCTTTCTAAGTAAAGATGTTGGGGTGGCGAAGCCTGGGCAGGGTCCTTGTCAGGGGGAAGAGTCACATAATTAGCCCATTTCATTGTGTGAAGGACTGCCCCCAGCGCCCCACCACTGTTGTCCCCCCCAGCTCCCCCAGGGGCAGTGGCACAGGAGGAAGGTGTCTGGGTGCAGAGCTGAGCGCTGGGTAACTCAGTGCATGATTGACCCAAGAGGCAGATGGAGATGGCACAGCAGCGCCGTTTCAGGGCAGGAACACCCCAGGTCTCTCTGGCTGACTTTCTGCAGCAAGCATGCTCCTTTTACACTGCTGCGGGAGGGATGGAGGAGGAACTGGCCCTAGGGGATGATGCTCGGGGCAAAGAGGCTTCACTGAGCAGGGAGAAGAGGTGCAGGAAAGGTGGATTCCCCTCATGCCAGTGCTCCCAGAAACATCTGCAATCCTGCTTGAAGGTTTGCTTCCCCCACTGGGTAGCCTTTTATTCTCCTTAACCCCACTGTCACGGTTCATTCCCCTTGCTTCTTACCTGCTTTGATCTTCCCTTTGCACATTTGCCTTCTGCTGGGGTTAGAGAGGAACTCTGGGCCAGAGCTGGGCCATGGAGGCACTTTGGGGCTGGAGCTGGGTTGTGGAGGCATTTTGTACCAGATTTGTTTGCCACATTAGCAAGACAGTGGGGTGGGTATCCCCACCCCTGGGAGGTGCTTCAGACCCCGCTGGGCTGGGGTGGGAGGTGCTGAGCATGGCAGGCTGTGCTGCAGCCCTGGCAGTGAGTGAAACAAGCACCTTCCCCAGGCCCTGGAGGGAGCGGGGCTGCCCAAGGAGCTGGGCTCTGCAGCGTCCGGAGGTGGACAGGAGCCCTGAGCCACCCATGGTCCATGGCTCTGTAAAGCCAGCTCTTCCCTGCTCTCATCCAGCCTCAAAATGTGTCAGCAAAAGCTTCCTGGGGCTGGAGGGAGAGCGATGAGCTACTGCTCTTCCTGTCCCATCCTTGGAAGTGATCAATTCCTGAGGGTCCCACACCAGCACTGGGTCCTTGCATAAAGCGAGGTCTGGCTGCTGCCATGTGTTGGGTCTGCAGGTGCCAGCTGCCTGGGAAAGGGAGGAGGTGGGGGACTGGCTTTGGCCAAACCAACCTCCTTCATCTCTGCTGGGGATGCAAACACCCATTCCCTCATCCCGTGGGTCCTCGCCGGGTGAACCTCCACTCTAAGGAGTGTCCCTGGTGTCCCCGGGAGGCTCTGAGCTGGCACCCACATCGTTGCAATCCTGTGTGATGCTCCTGATGGATTTGGAGATGTCAGGGGCCAGGAAAACTGGGAGTCAACTGGGCTTCCCATCACTTGTGGGGGAATCCAGGTGTCTGACCTCTCATAGCCATTGGGCCTCTCATATCCCCTCGAGAGCCCTGTTGTGGTCCTGCTGTCAATGCAGGTGCTGTCCTCAGTGCAGGTGGCTGCTTGGGGACACAGCCTGGGCACAGGGAGGAATGGGGGGCAGCAGGGACCCGTGTGACCACTGAGGCAACGTGTTTCAGGGAGTCCCTGACCCACCATGACGTTCAAGCAAGCATCCATGATGGCCCCGGAGGCCACGGCCACCACGATGCCCATGACCACGATGGAGAACTCCACTGAGGCCGCGGGGCCAGGAGAGAGCAAGGAGGACATGTTCGCCAAGCTGAGGGAAAAGTTCATGAATGAGCTCAGCAAGATTCCCTGTGAGTAGCTGCCTCCATTTCCAGGTATTACCCTCCTCATGACGCCACCACTGCTCTGGTCCCACTGCAACATGTGGGACAAGGTGATGGGGTGGCTGGTGCTGGGAGGGAGCTGTGGGGCTGACCATGACACTGGCTTCTGCCTGCAGTGCCACCCTGGGCCCTCATTGCCATCGCGGTGGTAGCCGGCCTCCTCATCCTCACCTGCTGCTTCTGCATCTGCAAGAAGTGCTGCTGCAAGAAGAAGAAGAACAAGAAGGAGAAGGGCAAAGGCATGAAGAACGCCATGAACATGAAGGACATGAAGTCAGGCAACCAGGTGATGTGCTTCTGGACCGCTTGGCCTTGTCCTGCACTTGGTGTTGAAGGATGATCCTTCCAATTGAGTTACAAACTCTGTCGGGGCACTCACAGCTCGGGCAGCAGAGCGGGATGGAACCACCAGGGTCCTGGGATGGGACAATGCAGACGTGAGCCCGGAGCTGAGACAGCAACACTGTCCCCTTCCAGCGCCCAGTGGCCTGGATGGGACCAGGCTCAGGCTGGCCTGGACCTGAACCAGCAAATATGAATTTAATCCGTTGTGTCTCCCTGCCTTGCTCTGCGTGGCCCTCACTTCACTGAGCTGTGCCGTTAGCTGAGGGGGCAGGACCACCAGGCCAAAACACCCACCACTCTGAGGTCCCCAAAAAGCCACTGCTGGCACACAGAGCAGAGCTGGGGTCACCTCCCCATCCTGGGGGGCCAGCGGGGAGGAGGCTTCGGTACCAGCAGGCTTGGGGCACTCCCGGTCATTTTCAATGGCCCTGACCCAGGGCCACGTGGAGGAGGTGGGAGATTTGGGGTGTCCATTCCTGCTCTTCAGAGCCATGTGTGCACCACGGGCATGCAGGCAGGGCTGGAGAGGCGATGCTCCATTGTCCCTCCCACCTGCATGCCCCCACGGTGGTGGGCGATGGGGGGTGGGATTCCCCGGTGGAGGGCGAGGGCTGCTGTCCCCTAGGGCTTGACGGGGCCGTACAGCCCCTGATTCCCCACTTTGCCATGGGTCCCTTGTCAATGCTCTCTGTAACGTGGCTCTCTTCCCTCCTGGTGCTCTCACCACCCTCCCTCCCTGCTGCCCTGGTTGTGTGTTGCCTCTCCGTCCTGGGACACGCTTCATGGTAGGTGCCACCACGAGCCTCCTTCTCCATCATCTGCTTCCAGGGTGGGATGGAGGGATGTGGGGACACATCGGGGAGGTGATAAGGATCTGGGGATACTATCCCATGGACCATGGCTTGGAGAGGCAGGGACGGGGGTGGTTTTGCCTTAGAAGAATTAGGTTGTATCTCTATTACTAAGCTAATAAAGCCTGGAAATGACCCTGCTAAGCCCTTAGCACTGGCTGTAGGGCTCTCCCAAGCACGGGCTGGGGAGGGGTAGAGTATCTCTGCACCCTTTGCAGTAGGTTGCTTCCATGCAGCCACTGCCTGCAATCCACTGGCGCTGACCTTGTGTCCCAGCACCCTGAGGCAGCCCCCCCCATGCCATCTCAGCTGGACCAGCACCGCGTGTGGGCAGAGCCGGTGCCACTCCAGGGCTGCTCTATCAGTGCTTTATGTCCCCAGCATGGGGGTCTCCTTTCCCCTGATGGGGAGAGCCTGGGTGTTGAGATGTCAGTAGGGTTGGGGCGCTGGAGGTCCCCAGTGGGGAGGGGGGATGCTGAGCTGGGACCCTGCCAGTGAGCTGAGCACCTCGGCTGCCCTTGCAGGACCAACAGGATGACGATGACGCAGAGATGGGTCTGACAGAAGGGGAAGGCGAGGAGGAGGAGAAGGAGCCAGAGAACCTGGGCAAGTTGCAGTTCTCGCTGGACTATGATTTCCAGGCAAACCAGGTGATGGAGGGGCTGAGGGCTTTGCTGAGGAGGTGGGAGAGTGGGGCTTGCCCAGGGAGGGTATTTGAGAGAAGTCTCCTTGTTGGACCTGGGTGGCACAGGAGGGAGGGGGCAGCTGGGTGCTGTGCCATGGGGAGTCCTGCCCCACTTGAGGCTGGAGATGAGCCCTTGGCATCTGCATGTAGCTGGGCCGTGTCTCTGAAGACACCCCTCTCCCTGCTCCAGCTGACAGTGGGGATCCTCCAAGCTGCTGAACTGCCAGCTTTGGACATGGGCGGCACCTCGGACCCATACGTCAAGGTGTTTCTGCTCCCTGACAAGAAGAAAAAGTATGAGACCAAAGTGCAGAAGAAGACACTCAACCCTGCCTTCAATGAGACCTTCACCTTCAAGGTGAGCCCCTTCCTTGACATAGGACCTTGTCTCCCACTCCCGTCTTTCCCCCATACTATATACCGGTCCTGTATGTTGACCCTCACTGCTTGGAGCAGGTGGCCCTGGCTTGGGCTCCTCTGAGCCTGTTGCCAGCCTGGTCAGTGGCCGTCTTTGTGCAGGTCCCATACCAGGAACTAGGTGGGAAGACGCTGGTGATGGCCATCTATGACTTTGATCGCTTCTCCAAGCACGACATCATTGGTGAGGTGAAGGTGCCCATGAACACGGTGGACCTGGGCCAGCCCATCGAGGAGTGGCGGGACCTACAGAGTGGTGAGAAGGAGGAGGTGAGAGCGGGGCTGGCGCGAGGCCCTCAGCCCGCTGAAACCCTTTTGGCAGGGGGGTTGAGGTGTGGGGTAGCCATGGGGCAGGTTTTGCTTTCTGGGCCATCTCACAGTGCTCAGGGTGGTGGTTGCTGTGGGGTCCCACCTGAACACCACACGTCCTGGCCATGAGCACTGGGCAGGATCTGCCCCTGTTGTTCCCCCTGCAAAAACTTTTCTATGACAAAAATGAAGAGTATAAACTTCTTAAATGCTGTGCTGGGACTGGTCTGCCTCAGATCAAACCCTTTTGCTGGTGCACAGGGTGCCAGCATCAAAGTATGAGCAGGGTTTGGGGGACCTGTACGCAGGACCATGTCCCAGCACCGAGCTATGATGCACTGCCACGGCTTTGATATCTGCTCCCTGCTCCACTTGGCAGCCAGAGAAGCTGGGAGATATCTGCATCTCTCTCCGGTACGTGCCCACTGCTGGGAAGCTCACTGTCTGCATCCTGGAGGCCAAGAACCTGAAGAAGATGGATGTTGGGGGTCTCTCAGGTTGGTGTCAGCTCGTGGGTGTCCCCGTCCCTCCTCACTGTGGGGCTCTCATCATCCTTCGCTGGGGAAGCACCCTGGGGCCATCAGCCTGGCAGGGCTCGGGGAAGCTCCTCTAGTGCTTGGGGCCTCCTGCAGCAGAGGCAGCCCAAGGTCTGGCTGGGCTGAGGGGAGATGGGGGTGGGGTGAGCCCCCCAACCCTTAGCAAGTACATCTTGAATTTGGTCCATCACTGTGTCCAGGGCCAGGATGCTGCAGGACCTGGTTGGTAAAAAGGCTTCTCTGCCACCATTTGCTCCTGGTCCTGCTCCTCCTTGACTTGGGGCCAAGGACCTCAGTCAACAGCATGTTTTATGCTAGAAGAGTCTTCCCAACTCCATCCCAGGGCTGAGCTCTCTGCCCAGGGGTTCTCATCTCTCTCCAGACCTGCCTTAACCAGAAGAAGAGCAGTACCTGCATGGCTGGAAGGGTTTGGTTTATTGCTGGGGTGTCCTGCTCCAGAAATGGGGGTGACAGGCCAGCACTCACCGGTGTCTCCCCACTGTCCTCAGCCCTCCTACAAGGGGACCCACAGGGTGCAGGAGAGCTCCATCCCTTGGCCAGCTGCTTCCACAAATTCTCTCCAGCCCAAATATTTTCCATCTACAAACCTGAGGGCAGCATCACTCATGGGGGTCTTTTTACCCCATGTGCACCTTGTCCTGGGCTGACACTTCTCCTGGGGCCAGCCTGATGGTGTCCTCTGGGCATCTCAGCCTTGGCTGATGCACCCTTCTGCCCCCACAGATCCCTACGTGAAGATCCACCTGCTGCAGAATGGCAAGAGGTTGAAGAAGAAGAAGACCACAGTCAAGAAGAAGACCCTGAACCCCTATTTCAATGAGTCCTTCAGCTTTGAGATCCCCTTTGAGCAGATACAGGTTTGTCCAATGGCTTCTCTGGAGGTAGGCAGGGTGGGAGCGATGGGAGAAGTCCTGCAGCTGCCCAAGTCCATGTCCCAGTCTTCTCAGCAGCTCCTGCCAAGCTCCTGGTCCTGCCACTCATGAAACTTATCCACTCCCAACCTGGGCCTGGGCTGATGCTGAGGGCAACTGGTGCAGGGGCGGAGGTGGGAAGCTGGGCAGCACCCATGGGAGTGCCACCCATGGCATCCCCAACCCAGATCATGGTTAGAATGGGCCTTTCTCTGCTCCTGGTCCTATAGCACTCACCCCAGGCATAGCAGGGACTCCTCAGTGGTCCAGGGGGCATTTTGGACTGCTGGTAGGTGCCTTCTGCCCCTCTATGTCCTGCCCTAGCCCCTGCATATGCCCCTTGCCCCAGCCCAGCCTCATCAAGCCCTGTATCCCACAGCTCTTGCCCAGCCCCACACCACCCCTTGGTGACCTTTCTAGGATGAGCTGGGCCCCGCCATGGCTCTGCAGCCCTGGGGTCCTTGGGGAAGGAAGTGGAGGAACCTGTGGGCATGGAGGGCACTCTGCCCCAAAATGGGCCACAGTGGGGCTCAGCCCTGCCAAGCTACCCCAGGGCTGGGGACAGCGTGGAGGCTGTGGAGCAGTCACGGCCGCTGTGCCTTCCCCCCCCCTGAAGAAGGTTTCCTCCTTTAGAAAGTGCAAGTGGTCATCACGGTGCTGGACTACGACAAGCTGGGGAAGAATGAAGCCATCGGCAAGATCTTCACTGGCTGCAACTCCACTGGCACAGAGCTGCGGCACTGGTCCGACATGCTGGCCAACCCCCGGCGGCCCATTGCCCAGTGGCACTCGCTGAAGCCAGAGGAAGAAGTAGATGCAGCTCTCGGGAAAAACAAATAGGAAGATCTGCCGGCCATCGCAGCACGGCACTGCGGACGGTTGAAGCGACCCAGAGCTACTGATACCTCAGTTACGCAACCTTTGGTTTTGTTTTTTTTGTTCTGTTTCAAGCTGAAATACCCTTTGATGGCTGTGGAAGGGTTTCCAGACAGTCCCAATAGCTTCCAGGGGAAGAGGTTAAAAAACATGGATGGTTCTTTTTGTTCTCCAGCATCGCTCCCTTCTGCTGCATGTCCCATTGCCTCTGCCCACCATCCCTTCCAAAGGGATGACCAGACCCACTGTGCTTGCTTTGGGCATGAACAGCCATGGGGACATCAACGTGGTGGAGAAGACCCTCTGCAGGAGCCCCAGGTGCCCCCCCGTCCTGATCTGCCTCCCTCCCTCCAGGAAGGGCGAGAGCTGTGGTGGCCCTGGCCAGCTCCAGGTTTGGCTGCTTCTGGCGAGAGGTTTGCAGCGACTGGTGTGGTGGTGGGGTGCTGAGCCCTCAGGGTGGCTGCTGGAGCTGCGGGGGTCTGTCTGAGCCTGGGGAGCCCCGGGAGGTCTGCTCTGAGTTGACACATGGTGGGGTGTGGGTGCAAGGGCAGACCACCGTCCTGTCCTCAGAGGCGAGTGGGGGCAGTGCTGGGGGATTTCCATGTGTGTCCCTCCATGCTGGGTTGACACCTGTAGATCAAGGTGCTTCCACAAGGCAGGTTTAGGCTGAGACGTCTCCAAATGTGCGGCGGCAGCCCCTACAGTGGTGCCAGGTGCTTCCCCAAAGGCTGTCACATGTCCCCAGGGCTGAGCCCCACTTCTGGGCACCCCAGCACCGCCTCGGCACAGCTAGGGGGGCTATGGGCAGCTCCAGCCCCACCACCCCATTCCACTGCTGTGGTGCAGGTGGGGAGGGTGAGAGCGAGCCCATGGCCAACAAGGGACCAAAGCCCCTGACCCCTGTGAGCTGCTGCTCCCCACTGGGCCACTGGCTGCTGAACCCACCCCATCCCGCTCCCCTAGGGGCTATAAGCCATATCTGTTCCCCTGGCAGTGGGCAAGAGCTTCTCCTGGCCACCTCTCCCACCATGGGATGAGCCAGGACCAAGTCCTTGAGCTGGAAAGTCAACGATGTTTCCTGAAGCTGAGAGAGGGTCCAGCAGCCCTGCCCAGTTGAGCCCAGTCTGTACTGGAGCTCTGAGGTGAGCCAGTGTCCCTGTCCCAGCGCTGGCTCCCCAGCAGCCTCGTGCTCCCTGCTCTGCTTTGCTTTCCTGGACTCGATTTTGTGGTGTTTCAGCACAGTTAAGCAGTGAGGGGCATTGCATCGTCAGTGAGGGGGGGCTTGAAGTGGGGAAGCAGAGCTCTGGGATGCAGCTGGGGACGCCCCAGGCATCAGGGACACCACTCTGCGGTCCAACACCTGGGCTGGGACCTCGGTGCAGGGTGTCCTGAGCCCAGGGACTAAGTGCCAAAGCTGAGCTCGCCCCAGCACTGTCAGATGCTTCGGCAGCTCCCTGCAGCCCCCACTTCCCAAAGGGCATCTCAGCCCTGGCTGGAGGTGGGGAGATGATGGGAAGCTTGGTGGCAGCCACAGCTCAGGGGGTTCAGGTTGGACACGGGGACAGGCCCCTTCCCCGGGAGGGATGTCCAGCCCTGGGACAGGTCCCCAGGGAGGGACGGCGCCGTCCTTGGGGGCAATTCGAGGCTTGATTAACCAAGCTGTGGTACGGGGAGGGGGAGGTTGGACCAGAGACCTCCAAAACCCACTTCCACCACCCCCTCAGCTGCACTTGGCCCCCACCCCAGTGCCTGGCTCAGCCACTGGAGTTGCTGGTGACGGTGGCACCGGAGCCACACTGGGCTACAGGGGCTTTGTGGGTCATCAAGCGAGTGGTGCCACAGGGCCATCTCCAGCTTTAATTAGTCCCTTTTCCTAATGGACGTGTCAGTGTCAGCAGATGAGGTCCTGCCCTGCTCCGGTAGCCAAAGGGAGAAGAAATCTTGGGGTGCTTTTAATTAACAGGGAGCTGGGGGCAGCTCCTTGGCCAGAGGCACTGGCAGGATTTGGGTTCTTGAATCAGTCTCATTTCGGAGTCCATCTGGGCACTGGTGGGGGGGTGTTTTCCTCATGAGGAAATGGGTTAAAAAAGAAGGAAATTGGAAAGAGCACTAAAATCCTCCTGTTGGCAGTCAGTGAGCGCGCCTGGCCCCGCAGCTCTCCTCGGGAAGCAGGCGGGGGGGTGTGCCCACGCCTGTGCACGTACAGATGCGCCCCCCGATCATGTGTGCACCCCTCCGCACACTCCTCCATCCCCCTGCACCCTGGACCCGCCGCATCATCTGGGGTCTCACTGGGAGTGGGGGTCCCACCTGCCTGGTTTCCATTCGGACTCTTTAAGCCTCGGGGTGGGAGGGAGACTGTGAATTTAATACATATTTTTTTTTTTTTTTAAATGAAAAAAGGGAAAAATAACTGACATATTAAAGCCATCTGCGCTGCCTCTGACCCCCCCCCTCCAACCCCCTTAGTTGTGTGTAGTTAAAAATATATGGAGACATAGCTGTATATACCATGAACTGTGCATGAGATGCAGCCCCATAGCAGTAGCAGCATGGGTACAGCCGCGCGGCGCCGCACGCTCCACCCCACCGCTCGCCGCCGCCGGCACCTCCGGCCCCACCACGTCTCTCCAGCGAGGGCAGAGACGGTGAAGAACAAAACTCATTGCTCGAGTGCTCTCTACCACCCTGATTCTGTCTCTTATACACAT